AATGTCAACATCCTATCTGGCGCTCTGCGCCCAGACTACAAATGGCAGATCCTATCTAGCCTATCTACAATGCCACTGGTGACGTCAACAGCTCCCTGAAGTACGCGCAGATCTCGGACAATGCCGTTCGCCTCAAGCACCAGGTATGTCTCTCGTATCACTCACAACCTCGATCCCCCACTCACAGATGCCACATGCACCCAAGGACCACCATGCGCCCCATCCAGCTCAGCGCAGCGCAGCTCGGCTATGGCTGCCTGCTTTCCCTGCTCACCCGTGAGCGCGTGGGCCTGGCCAGCGATTAGCACAGCAGCGCTTGCGCAGCATACAGCCAGTGCCCGAATGCCGAATCTGGAGGCAGGCCCTTTCCTAAATGGAAGTGGCCTGCCTGCTGCGCGCGGCACGGCTGCACTGGGCCCCGGTTCAGAAGCTTCCGGTAGGCCCCGAGAGGCTGAGCCTCAGACCAAACGAATCAGGCCCAGGGCCTGTAGTGGTTACCCGTGCCCAACTGCCTGCAGCCTGTGTTCGGTCCATGTTGCGTATCTGGCCCAGGATCTGCCTCAATTACATACAATAGAGGCAGCCTGGGCCTGGGCGCTTTCAACCAACTGGCGCTGCGCAACTGCCTGAATTTTTCCCAGTTGCCTTCACTTAGGGCGGCCGACCTTGCTGATAACAGGGCCCAGTAGGGCATACCGAGGCCTTGTGCCTTGCAACCCTAAGACTCCCTGGAAAAGGAGTGTCAGATTTTACCCTGAACTGCCGCTCATGCGAGAAAACACAGAAGGAAATGAGAAAGATAATTAAAAAACTCTGAGTTAAACTCCGGGCCGCCCGGCCGTCCAGCCTCCACCCGGCAGGGGTCCCGGGCGGCCCGGCCGGTTGGCTGCCCCAGCTTTACGTCGGGCGGGCCCAGCGCATTTTTGCGCGGGGGGGGGGCGAGGCCTTTTTCGATGTTTTTTCGTGCTTGGGAGCCTCCCCGCCCCCCCGCGCAAATTCTTCCGCCGACTGCACATTCCTTCGGGCGGCCTTCGAATTCGAATGTCGAGTTCGTGCTGCCCGTTGAAGTGGTCTCGTCGCTGCCCGCTGAAGAGTTTCCCGTTGCTGCCCGCCTTCGCCGAGAAGCCCGTCGTCGATGGCCGTCTTCACTGCCCGCCACCGCTGCCCGTCGTCGCTGCCCGTTTCCCAGCTCGTCGCCGCTGCCCGCCGTCGGAAAGCTGCCCTGTCGTCGTCGATACGGTACCGTTGCGCGAAGTGCCACATGTC